AGAGGCTATGCCGGACTTGTGCCCAAGCCAGCTCCTGCCAGGCCTGATCAACATGTGTTTTGTAGAACCCTATAGCTATGCTACCTAGCATAATCTGAACATTTGCAAATGCAGGCTAGACGCATGCAGTTTGGGCTTGATCGGCCAGATAGGGCGATGCAAAGCCGCAGCACGATCTGCAAGAACGAAGTAGCTCAGTAGGCACTGGTCCTTATGACATGCGCGAATTTCCGAGCCAATCATTTATTGCATTGTGTGCCCACCCTGATAAGAGTAAACACCCCATTAAACAAAGAAACGCCCACTATTTACCCTCCTATGAAGGCTAGGCTCGCATGACTCCTGCAGTGCCCATGCTTCCGATTCCTCCAGGTACCGCGATGCATCCTCGGATTGGTTGAACCAGCAGGCCAAGTAGTGCCTGAGCACGGATATTAATTTAAACTTTCAGGAGGTGTAATACAGGAAATTATTGTAATAAGATATGTATCCTGAATAGGAAATATAATTAGTAAATTGCTAGGTTATAAGATGCCCTTAACCACAGCTGGAGTTGCACACACTTCGCCATGAGCATCAAAACTTCATTGGTGGGCTCGGCATTGTAAAGCTCTAGCATAAAGGATGCCAGCCAAGCCACCACCACACGAGCCTTGTCCGTCCAGCAGACTGCTTAGGGCTTCGGGTTTAGATAGGGTTTAGGGTTTAGGGGTTTGCATAAACATTTCCATTGGTTAGCATATGACCCCACTCTTTATGGAGGACACCAGTGTCATATAAGAATTAGTCGATAAGAACTCTCCATCGCGACCGATAGAGCCATACCCTAACCATCTAGTATTCCATTGTATCTTGGCCCCATAAGCTTAAGCATTTAAAGGGATAACTGAAGGTGCTGATTCAACATGAATAAACGATGAGAGTCATAACATAAACTAGTGAACATATTTCCGGGTACATCTATCCAGACCATGGTATGAAAGACGAGCCCCGAATAAAGAACCCAATAGTATATATAACGAGGGCGAAACCAAAAACTATGTGCTGTTGCTATAAGCAGCATTGTACGCCTTGGCCCGGAGCTCCGGAAACGGCCCATCGGGGCTTTTCAAAGAAGCTGTGGTAAAGCGAGGTTGAGTGTTCCTCGTAATTATGGGGATAGGGGATAGCATTTACAAACCTACGGCTATCTAGGCTTGAAGGGTCAACTAGAAATCTACAACGGGATTTGGGAACTAAGCATACTTAGAATAATGATCCACCTGCAAGCATGCCAACCTCCAACGAACATGTGACCAAGCGGCGGTACCCTGTGCTTCGATGTCCAAAGCTTGAAAGTCTCATGAGCCTCCCGCAAGCGCTCCGCATCATCTCCGCTCCCCCATACCCCTGGGAAGTCTAGCAAGACCTGCTTGAAGATCGATCCCACCAACCACAAAGCCACACCCAGGTTGATAACATGCATAGAGCACCATTTGAAGGTGCTTGCCGATGCAGCAGGAAGCTTGAAGAGTGGGCCTCGGAACTGTTCTGGAGACGGCTGTGTGTCTCGAACTTATAATAAGGAATAAGTTTATCATAGATGTAGGTCCTAGACTGTGGTTGAAAGTCACAAGACATAGTTTTTTATGAATGCAGGGATGCTTGGAATACCCGGGTGTGCACAGGAGTTCACGATCTCATCCAGGCTTCTTCGGGGGAGCTCGTGTAACAGCGAAGGGGCAACAGCATAAGCAGTGTGAGTCACTCGACAATGATGACACAGCTCTCGTGATGACCATCCGGTCTTTAATCCCAGCCATTCCTGAGCAAGCATCTACATTTTAAAGCCAAATTATATATTATAAGGGTAAATTTATAATTAGGGTTTAGGTATTATGGTAATTAACCCCATGCCAGGTTCTTTCTGCCACTTCCAATCTCCTCTGACCTGTGTACAAACAGCCGATATCATCGCAGCTTCACTGGCCCGGCAAACGGCCACCCCATTCAGCAGCACATCGAAGCTTTGAACCACCTTGTCTATTGTCTGGGTGCGGTTTTCGATATATCTCTATATCTATATTATACATATAGACATATATATATATATATATACATATATATATAGTTTGATACTATATGCATAGAACGTAGATCGGACGATCAAGCAACACATATCTTCTGGTTGCCACTGCAGCACTGGTTGCATGAAGGCGGCGATCGTAGCCATACCCACACTCAGCTCCTTAGATAGCGAGATGTTTCTGTGCAGACTTCGAAGCGCTAGCATTTGGTATCATGAATCTTCAAATAGTTTGAGGGGCTTCATAAGGCTTAAAACATCCAGGACTATATATATGAAGTAAAGCAGGTCTATATATATTTGTATTTCAATTAATATGGCACGAGAGAGTACTTTAAAAGTCTACACATATAGGGTTTTCCCGGTCGTATCACAAAGAAATGACTATTGTATAAAACACATCTTCGATGTAAATGAAATCCATGATTATCCCATGCACACAAGCATCGCAGCCACACACCCAGAGCGGGAAGCAGCAGGCATAAGAGTCCCGATTAGGATCCAAGCAGTGTCCCAGCATGCATACCATGACCTTCTGATTAATCTTCTTGCCGTAACGAACATCGTCTCCCCATAGCCAAACTGGGTGAGGATCGGATTCCTTTGAAGGTGGTTCGATCCCCGTTGAATATTTTACCTGATGCTGCCAATAGGCTTGAATGTCCTGTAGTGGTACTTCCGGCCACAGCCCCATACGCACCAGCCAAGGCAGAAGCTTGTGTGGAAGCAGGATAGGCATCGCCCTGTACTAGACCATCATGTCTAGAGAACCCCCTAGCTAGCCTTAATTATATATGTTCCAAACCCACAAATACTACCACTTATTATGTCCAAGCCCCCTGAATGCAACGGCACGTGGCCTTGTGACCACCTTGAGCTTCCCGCTCTCAGGCCGTACCGGAACATCCACGAATTGAAGAGGCACCTGGGTTTGGAAGATGAACTGTTGACTTAAGCTTTGATGATGTCTTTAGCTATGCAATTATTTAACATGGGAGTGGTGTTGTTGCTGAGGTTTCAAAGTTAGAGGGCTTAGGATCGTGGTATGTCATATATATATATATATATGGATGTATATATATATATATGATGCGTTTACATAGATACAGAGAGCTATCTTTAAGGATAGAATCCATTACATGGGTTCTAGGAGTGATCAGGTGCCATGTGTGTGTGTGTGTGCAGTCTGTGTGCATGCTGCTAAAATTGCCGGGGCATGGACGTACACATGTTAGGAGTGTGGCCCATAATGCGTAAACCCATAGCCATATAATGAGTAGCAGGGTGCATCATCCCCAGTTGAGCTTCGACGAAGCATGTCACGTTGTATGTTGGAACTCCATCTCCCATCACTGCCGGCTGTCACCAGTCGGGCGCAAGGGCCCCGCATCTTCACACCGTGCCAGCTCATCTCCTGCAGCTTGATGATCACACAGTATGCATACTTAAGCTTCTTTATGCATGGCATTGTGCAGTACGGGTCGGTCCTCCTTGACAGCTTGCAAAGATTCACGAGCACTTTTGAAGGAAGCCTCATTGTGTGCAAAGTCACTCCATGCAGTCATAACTAAGTACAATGTAGACCGTCAGGGTTTTAACAATAATTCTACAGAACAATATATAGGGCCGGCGTTTTAGGGCACACTTAGCGAATCCACCTATTTAATTATAACTGTTGCAAGCGAGCAGCTCCACGACCAACCTGCCGGAGCAAGTGCTGGAACAGAGGCGATGTCCTTGCTCGCGCAAGATCGCCTGCGAGGACGCAAGTATACCACATCAATCATGACATGCGGCACGACGACAGCTAAAGCCCATGAAGAAACCCCATCCCCATTGTTTTCCTGCTGCCCCGATGGGACCGGATCAGGTGTCTGGCTTTGTGCCAGCCAGGGTTCCTTCGAACTAGCATCTTTAAATTTGACATGTATCGGTAGCTCCATCAAAATCAGAAGCATTCCCACGTTGAAGGTTCTAGCAGCATGCAGCCGGCACAGGATATACTGCATAATTAAATATTACGCATTATTCCAACTTCAGAAGGACGACTACGTTGCAACATAAACGAGTCTACAAGCTTCAGCTCCATCCTGCACCACCGTGTGCATGCACACACGTGTATGCTGGGCCCTCAACAAACGCTTCAGCCCCATCTAGAGCCTATGATACACTCTGGCCATTTGGCTTTGCTCGATCAGGCTCACCGTGCAGCACGTCCTTTTGCCTTGGCCTTGGCCTTGGGCTTCGGTGGGTCCTGGGAGGCGGTCGTCGTGAAGCTTTAAAAGTTTAGGAGAATTAAGAGAGTTCATATAGGGTTTAGGGTTTAGGGTTAATGATTGGCATCATTGAATCATGAAGTGTCCTGCAATGCTTCAGCTTCTGTTGCAATTGGTGGAGAGGGAGAGATAACTCATACACATCGCTAGATGCATATATATATATATATGTGTCTAGATAGGATATGATTAAGAGGAACACCAGGTTGATCGGACATGCATATATAGAGTACAAATTACATATTGCCAGATCATATCTATATATATATATGTATATATATTATATGTAATAAGTAACTAGGGAACTCTTATAAATATGACATATATATATAGTTCCAAGTACAGATTAATCTACACAAAGGTGTGTATGTATGTATATATATATATATATGACAATGCGACAAGCTAGAACTCGAAGCCATATCGGGAGCACATGTACCGATGCATGGGTGCAATATCATCAGTTCTAGATATATATGTATATATACATATACATATACATATACATATATATATATATTCTACATTTTCCTTATTGACTAGGTCGAAACTTGGGGGTACTGGATGGGTTTAGAGTTTAGGGTTTAGGGTTTAGGGTTTCGGGTTTAGGGTTTGGGGATGGTTTAGGGATTTAGGGTGTAGGGTGTAGGCTTTAGGGTTTATGGCTGCTGGCAAGCTTCGAGGGTGAGCTTCAGGGGCTTCATGGCACCAGTGAAATTGGTGATGGCGGCATCTGCACGATCAAGTTCGGCCTGAATGGTCTCTAGGACGGACTCCCCCATGTCCGCATCTTTCGTTGCGTTGTAGCTGCTGTACAAGCCTTCCAAGCCGGTCTTGATTTCGCTGAACTTAGCACCGTGTTGATCCAGCTGCTCATGGATGCCCTCTTTGGTTTTCTGGGTCCTGGGCTTCATGGGTAATTATAATTACCGAAGAGTCTCTGCACGGGCTTTGTGTGCAATTCAGAATAATTAGCTGTCAAGTAACACCTCCGGTGCACCGTTTGCATCCTGACGTAGGGCTGCTTCGTCCACCTTGCTTCGCCAAACCATGATCTCGGTCAGCTTGGCTGCGAGGGTTTGGATTTTCGCGTTGATCTTCTTCGCGTTCATGCAGGGGTTGTGTTTCGGTTGTTTTTTTTGTCATCATCCTGCGTTCTTTCGCCACCGAGGCCAGAACCACCAGCGATGGAATCGGCAGAGCTCCAGCGCTGCAGGAGATCCGCACCTCCCCCACTCGAACCCGCGGGTCCTGTAGCCGACGGTAGCAGCATTGGCCTGGGCTTGCTAGGTTGACTGTTGTTTATAATTGTAATAATATATATCTAGCCTATAAGACTGGCTGTAGGGTTTAGGGCTTCGGTTTGAAGATTGATGTTATAATTGTAGCTATATGCACAGAGCCCACAAATAAGCACGACTTCTAGGGTTTTGCTTCGGGACCTATATATGTAGCATAGTCTTATAATACTAAGAATAACATATACATATATAATTCTACATAGAGCTATAAGTTATTATAATCGTATTATGAATAATAGTACTATTGTATATACATTGTACAAGCCACTCGCCCCCAGGACTTAACATGGGTAGAGAAGCCATTATAATATTAAAGGGTTAGTGTTATTTAGGTTTCCGAAAAAAGGCTAGGAGATGTAATTAATAATAATGCAGTGTCATCTTATAGTCTATCATGATCAGGTTCGGAGCCTCATACCCATTAAGCATTACAAAAAAAATCTCCAAACTAACATGCATGTTATAATATATAGCCATAAAACCACTATCCTACCCCCGACTGCCTACATATATGTATCGATTCCAAACCATGTCATTATAATGTTGTAGGGCTAGGTGCATAAGCTGTGCTCCGACTTCACCGGAGATCGAAACCTCCGACTTGAAACCCACCTCTGTTCGGTTGGTGTCCTGCAGCTCGAACTCCAACGAGTCGAAGACCCGGAACAGCTCCCAGTCCTCAGTGTGGCTGTTGCTAGGAAAGGTTGCAATTGTACAATAGTTATCTAGGGGTTAAGGTTTAGGGCTTGTTATTTGTAAGGGTTTAGGGTCTTATTTATAATGAATATATAACTACTGTTTAAACAATTTTGGGAAATCAGCAATGAAGTCCAGGGCTCGGGGTCATCGATGTCCGGATGGGACATGTGGAAAGGTTTAGGGTCTTTTCGTGGGTCGCGGCATTTCTCGGCTTCGTATTTCCGCTGCCGCATGGACTCTGCTGCTTTCTTGCCATATTGCTCGCGTAGGTGCTTAAACGGCTTCATGCATTCCTTGGCTTTGTTCTGCTCTGTCGAAATCCGCTGTGCCTCCAGCACGAGGGATGTCTGCGTCCAGTCTTGGTCGGCACGCATCCACTCTTCAAACCATCCAGCAAGTACTTTGAGTCTGCCTTATTTACTGGGTGCACCAACTTATCAGCACTATGATCCCAAGACCCGCACCAAGTCATCCATGAATATTATAATGTACATATTTGGGCAAGACTTGGATCAATTATGCACGGCACTGGATCGGGGTTGGTCCTGGATTTCGCGGTACTTTTCCAGGACGATCTTCGGGCAGTCAGAGCCTCGGCTTCTGCAGGGCTGAGTCGAACCAGGACACACCTAATTTAGTCTACATGTAGCCCATGGTTTCTGACAAGCTACTCTTCAATGTTCGATCAAAGCGCACACGGGCATTGTGGGCTAGCCTCTTAGCCTCCGCATCGTCCACATGCGCATTCACTCTCTGGGCCGGGGTCTCTGGAGGCTCCGTCTTCGGGGCCAGATCTGGGGCGACAGGCACGGCTCCATCCGGCTTGGACTTTTCCATAGCCTGCGCATTCTAGGGTGGTGACACAAATAATATAATAGTCGATGACATGAGTCGATGACATGTGCAGTTACCCCCGAGGCCTCAATCTCCGAAGTATCCAGTCGAGCCATTGTAGCCCTCATACCAGCTTGCTGCAAAGAGGCAGAGGATGCAGTCGGATTGCCCGGTACCTCAGCCAGCAGCGACAGCTCATCTTCGACGGACTGGTTCAGGATTTCCATCTAGCAGTTCGGATATATGTACCGGTATACTTTGGGTTCGGCTTGGATACTAGCTAGGCTCATGGACTTCAGGCGTAGACCCTATTTAAAAAAGGTAGATGAGCTATATGAAGATACTATTATATATATATATATTATGATTTAATATTAAATTATCTTAGAAGAGATCGAACGACAACCATAAAGGGCTTCAATAGTTCACTAGCATTTTGGAGGGGGGGGGGTATGTTAATTTAAGAAAATATATCTAATCATTTTTTTGTTGTGGGATACAGGTAGGGCTGTATATTTGCGAGCTATTCAACTAATTATAAAGCCTGAAGTAGGACTTGCTATGGGCAATGTCAAAAGGTACATAGCAGGGGAAATCCAGGCAGTGCCGACCCACATATATTGTAATTGCTTCAGACACCATCCGATTTGTAGTGTACAAGTGCGAGGGAGATAGTGAGCTATAGTAAGCATATATAGGCCAAATTATCTAATTCGGTAAGTCATATATTAACTAGGAAATGTTCAAGAAACGGCTCCAGTCACTATATGTAATAGACAAGCTATTGCTGAATTCATGCTAGTATACAAACACCGGCAATTGAAACATTTAAAGACGAAGCGGTCTTATGACTCACCTGTCGCTTCGAAATCCTGCGGAGCTGTGGGAGTGTTCATGAGGTGCTCGAAGGAATCGTGGTATTGCTATCATGATGACCACTTCGAATTCTTATAAATAGGGCCGGGTGTTTAAGACTAGACTATAAAGCCGTCTTTGCATGATATCGGATGTTCTGGGTATGTCCGGGCTTACCATTAATTAAGTGTACATGTATGCATAGATGCGACCAACTTCCGTCCGAATCTTCCAATATATATACATGTGAGTATACGTAGCTGTGATAATGTGATACATTCCGGGTTGAAACGTTGACATCATCATCGGGCTTCGAGTAGCATCATGGTCATGCACGTTTGGGTATACTTTTTCGTGCTGGTTCTCACCCTTATAATTATTATAATGGCTATATATATATACATATAATATATATATATATATACTCGGATTCATATAAGGTTGTAACGGGCTAGCTGCATGGATAAATTCATATACACATGTCAGAGCTTCGAATGCAGTGTTACTGCAGCAGAGGTGCTGCGTCGGCGGCAGCTTCGTGGAGCTCAGACAGAGGCTTGGCCTCTGCTGTCATGAGTCCGTCCAGCTCCTCGCAAAGAGCTGCCTCGTCGATGTCCGCCAACTCATTGAGTTCATTCTGGCTACATTCATTAGTTGCCTGGTACTCGTTCTCGACAGCATTCAAGAGGAGCAACAAGTGTTCACTGAAAGTCCTGATCTCATTCTGCAGCTGGTTTGCTGCAGCGACATGGTCAATCTCCTTCTCTTGTAGCTTCTGCACTTCCCAGCGGTCGATTTGACCGAGTCGAAGTTTCAACGTAGCATCACCGAGTTCCTTGGCCTTCTCTTGGTGGCGCCGTCTGTCTCCGAGAGCCATGATTATGTTTTCGTACTTGTCGTACTTGCCTTTGGCATCCTGGTACGTTTTTTCCTTCTCAAGCATGACAAGACAGATCTCATGCAATCGGCGGGCAGACGGACCATGAATCGGGTCCTCGTTTTCGAAGTCGTTCGGAGGTCGGCAAGCAACCACCCGAACCCATTTCAAGACCTCCCACATCTTGACTTCGATCTGATCTGTGTGAGAACGATGGACCCACGGGCACAAACGACCAGGGCTTCGCATCAACTCCAGACAGGTATCCTCCGGCACCAGCAGCTCGGGGAGCTGAAGATCGCCACGCTCCTGGAGTGTATGCGCTAGGTCCAGCACAGGGTCCTTTGCAATCATGTTCTTCTCCACTGCCTGATACTCGGAGATCAAGGAGTCGCCACGGTGCATAGGAATTGTTGTTTGTGAATCCACATGCACCGGTTTACCTTGGATCGTGAATTCGGACATATTTAATTTACTATGCGGGCTGCTAGGAACCGTATACGTAGTTGTAGCCACACGTGATAATCATGCATGCCTAGAATTATACTTAGGTGATTAACATGTGTCATGACGATAATTATCGTCGTGACACATGTTAATCACCTAAGTAAATATTTTCCCCATGTATACATGCTCGAGAAAGAGGGCAAGATCTCTCGGGAGATGTGCGAGTGTGGGTATGTCTGTGTGTATATGTTATAATTAAGTTGTAGCCTGGCATGACCCGAATTCGAAGGGTCCAAAAGATCATTATAGGGGTTACGGATAGTGCTATTTTGTGGGTATGTATTCAGCATAGTATATTATATTATTAGTATAAGGTACTTCGACCCATTATTAGGCGATCAATAGGTGTGCAAACACAGCACCAAATAAACATAGCATATCAAATATTTATATTAGAATGTGCATATATTATAAATATATATTATAGTTTTATTACTATTATTATTATTATTCTAATAATTATTAGTATTATATATTATTTCTTGTATGTGTAATAATGATAAAAGTGGTCTGCGGACCGGTGCAGCACAACCCGAGGTCGAGATACACATCTTATTATACTATTATTAGAATTAAGCTTAGACTTAGTCTGACTAGGATATTAATAATTAATGACTCGCATGTAGCAGATTATTTATATACACAAGGATGGTTAATTATACATGCAATGCAACTTGCAAGGCTAGTTTCTGTAATGATCAGACTTCAATTACTTTATACTGACACCGAATGAGTCGAACTCTAGACACATTTCATGGATCAGTTCTTGAAGTCAGAAGGCTTCTCGAAACGTATATGTAGATGATCTGTACATCGTTGAAAGACTACAATCGTACATGATATAATTAATACATAATAATTATTAATTGCAACCGAATCGCGACCTGCCGACATAGACTGCGCATCCATCTGGGACTTGTGTCCATCGCCAGGCACCAACGTGGGACCAGCCTGCAGACAGGCAAACGGGAGCTTCAGTGATTGGGGGTCTTTTAATCGTCAGGCTACTGGGGACCGGCCTTCTGTTCTGAGACCTTTGCTGCATGACCACCTGGGCCCTGTGGAGACTTCTTGCTGAGGGGATCCGTAGTCTTTTCACGGGAATCGTCAGGCTGCTTCTGTCCTGAGATTGCCTCTGCTGTGGAACCACCTGGGCCCTGTGGAGACTTCTTGCTGAGCTCGAGGGGATCCGTAGTCTCTACACGGGAATCGACAAGCTGCTGGTGACTCTTACGTCCTGATGAGATTGCCTTTGCTGCTGCTTTGGAACCACCTGAGTTTTGTGGAGACTTCTTGCTGGGGGGATCCGGAGTCTTTTCATGGGAATCGGTAGGCGGCGGATGCTTCTGTCCTGACATTGCCTTGTGTGCGGAACCACCTGGGCCCTGTGGAGACTTCTTGTTGAGGGGATCCGTCGTGCTTTGACGGGAATCGCCAGGCTGCTGGGCATCCTTTGCAGATGCCACTGGCAAGGGCCCCGACTTTGGGGATGTCTTCTTCAGGGCATGCTCAGTCGTTTCAAGGGAATCGGCAGGGCACTGCTGGGTATCCTTCTGGGTTTCGATCTGGCTTGCTTCTGCTGGCAGTTCAGCAACTGGGGGCTTCATCTCAGGGGCATCATGATGAAACAAGTGCCGCTTCGTCCCGGTGGGCAGTTGCGGGCCAACGGGCTCTCGAAGATTCTGGGCGAGGTCGCTGTTCTCCGTGGCCGGTTCCTGGGAAACCAGGATTACCCAGGTGTTAAAGCAAAGCTAGGGTTTATGTCATATATATATATATATAGATATCTATATATATATATATATAACTACATGTATCAACTAATATAATAAGGCCTAGCTAGGAGTCTCAAGCTTGGGATTGCTGCTATATAGGCTAGGTAGGTATTATATAATATATAGATATATATGCTTAGCCAAGGCTCCAAATCCTCACCACACCTAGCCTTCTTGTGGTACGGGCTCTTGATTGCAGGGGAAGACATGACGGCAGCTTTTGCAAAGTCTGCTGACAAGTTCTTCTTGGGATTTGCAGCAGGAGAGGCTGTCGCACGCTTAGGAGGAGGAGTCGTGGTCCTTGAAACCTGTCGAGGCTGCCCTCCGGATCCTGCCATTGGCTTTTCGGCCGGCTGCTTAGCACTCGCTTTGGGAAGCTTCTTGCTGGAAGTCACGGAAGCCGCCCCAGCACTGGCAGTAGTCGAAGTGTTCCCATCACCTGAATTCAATGCATCTGTTGCAGACTACATTCTTCTGATACCGTCTAGAAAAACGATGATGACAAGCAACCTTCCAGCCGCATGTGAGATCAATAATCAAGGAGGATTTGCAACCTAGATGCTTTGACCTCCCAATGACTTCTTGCTGTTGCACCGCTTCAGAGCCTGCCGCATCTCCTCTTCCATGTCGAACTTGTCTGCCTGGGCAGCCCGCATGTGGGTCGAAGAAACCGTATCGTTCTTATATTATAATTTAGATTATGCAGGAGGGATTATATACGGTTGCCGGCCAGGTGCAGCACTGCTGGCTTTGCTCTTCTTCGCCGGTGCAGGCTTCTCACCGTACGGGGCGGGTCTCTGATCACTGCGGGGCATGGCTGTAGACTGCTCTACGTGAACTCACACAAAGCCAAGAGGCCCCAAATAGGAGAAACAAGTGGCCCAGGAGCGGAGAGAGGCTATATTATACAGGAGAATCGGTTTCACATGGTTTCACGGTGGTTTCACGCCTGGTTTTCTGTATTTGGGGTCATTGGGACGGTTTTCACGGCATTTCACGGTGTTTTCACATCACTGCCTCTACGCAAGTCAACGCTGCCTGTAGGGCCAAAATCCTTGCCCGGCCGGTTCACGCAGGAGGTTTGGCGAGGCTACGCAATCAACTTCAGTTGTTCTTCAAGGCTAGCATGATCCACACCTAGCCGCAGCATATAATAAACTCTGGACACAACCAAGGCCCTCTAAAGTTGTCTTAGTCCAAAGGGTCCAGGTGCTTGATGGTATTTACGTAGTGATCTACTGCTTAGTATAGGATAATAAGCAAGCATTCTAGGATGTTGAAACCATTGGGCCCTATTTATAATTAGTAGGGAAGGCACAGGGATCGGATAGTCATGTATTATAGGCTCAACACGGACTTCTATATTCAATTCTGGCACCCATGGCAATTCGAAGACGGTCTGTGTGTGACTGCGGCCTGATGACGAGATGGTGGCTTGCCTACTTCTGAGTCATGATGTTGCACTGATGAGCAGAGTGTAAAGTGCTCCAATAGCAGGAAAGCCGTGGCCCAGTGCACTATTCACTTTCCTATGACTAGTGCTGTAGTAGCCGATTGACACAGCCCTGTAGTCACTTGGGAAAGCTGCCTCATGCATCTAAGCCCGATATATTATTGCCTCCAGAACCGAATCTTTCACTCTTGGCGACATCGAGGCTTCCGTTGCCCTGCTTCGGAACTGGAAGTGCTGCCAAAGGTGCTGCCAATGAGGTCACTTCTCGAGCTAGAACTATTATCATAATCACTATAGCTGATCACGAGCTAAGTCCATGTGGCGAGTCTTATAACACAGGAATATATAGAGTTCTAGAAGTATATACGTTTACATATATATATATATATGTGTATATATATATATATGTATGCCAGTAGACTGTATTCAAAGCCCGAGATCTGCACGAGGACAGTACAAGGGTCCTTACTGATAGTAACTGTAGGTCAGTATGCTGAAAAGTATATGATGCATTCCGAAGGTATGGACCCTTATGAAGTAGGTACAATATTATCATAAATTTCTGCTGATTTGAAGCTACATACTAGCCACAAGACGGGATCAAGGGTCCAATAATTCGGTACTCGGCTCTGGGACAATGACATCTACTTTAACTGCACATTGGAATCCTCATCTAGAAGGGTTATCGGGCCATTTGTTTATAATTAGGTAGACATCTTTACAGGTTAGCATGATTTATATTGGAGTCTGAGATTTGGTTGTGGGCGATAGGTTCAAGAGAGTGTGCCTCAAGCACCAGCAGCAACAGCCTGAAGGTGAATTGGCAGGGATATCGAATTAAACACTTCTTGGGGTTGCACAGACGAAGTGGGCACGTGACATCTTGAGAATTAGCTAGCTTGGATTCCAGGATCCATAGCCCCAGCTCAAGCATTAATTACATCATATGCATTCCACAATCCTTGGCCCCAGATCAGGGTCCTAGAACCTTATAATTAAGGATGGACTCTGCATATGTGTATAGCGTATAGTGATATATATATATATATATATATATGTGTGTGTGCATCTATAATCTCATGCGAGAGGATCAGTTCAGTTGCAACAGCATGCTGGGCTACACAGACACGTCTATGTGTAAGGGCTCGCACTTCTGATCATCTACGTGCGTGCATATATACTTCTCAGACATATGTACATATGTATATGTATATGTATATATATATATATATGTACATATATATATATATCTATGTGTATATATATATATATGTATGTATGTATGTACATGCTGCCTGCATGTATATGTGCATACATGCACACTTTCATGCATATAACGCACATACATACATAACTACATATATACATACATATGCATACACTTTTGCATACATACATATATCTATATATGTATACATATATATATATATATAATACATATATATATATATAGAGATATGTATGTGTGTGTGTACATGCATAGCATGTTACAATGGTCAGAGGTGTCCCATCCCTCCCTGGGTTCATCATGATGCATATACAGAGTGTACATTAATTTAATACACGTGCACTCCCTACACATGTATTACAAATGTGTGTATATATATATATATATGCCTCCACTAGAAGAAAAACATTTGAAGCTATATACACATATCTCCAAGTGCCCATATCCCTACATACATTTACATATATAGGTACGGACTACATGCTACTCGGGGAGCCGATCGACACTGCTGCACCACACCAAGGACACTCGTTGTGGCCTAAGCACCCATACCTTCAAATAGGCAGAGGAGTTCACCTTACAGTAATTAGTTACTGAGACTCTTCAGCAGTATAATAACGTACACTTTGCCAAACACTGCTGCTGTAGCTAGTGGGTAAAATGCTTATCCAGACATCCAGATGTCTGCTTGCATCAGCCCAATTCATGGCCGGTATGTTCGAAGACCCAACCAAGCTGAAGACTACACCTATGTACATGTCCATATTCAACACAGTGCCCAGACTCGCGCCCACTTTTAAGCCGTGCCCTCTCGAAGTGCATTATCATAATTAGCTTACCATTGAAAGAGCAAGTTGCAGGCCAGTTTAGCTTGGCATGACTATGTATGCAGTGCTTCATTCTATTTATAATTACCGTTACAAAATGAAACACTGTGCCCGAAGCAATACGTGTTACAAATAGCAAACCTTATTCAGTTCGAACAGAGCTTTCTCCAAGGCCGAGACGGATGGACCCAGCACGTGTCGGGCCCAGCCCTTCTGGTGTCTGGGCATTCAGCAATTTGGGGCTGAGGCGAACCCGTAATTGGAGGAACCCTTCTGGTTTACTTATGGTTGCAGGTGCTCGATGTTCAATGTTCTTGTTTGGATATAGTCAGCATGTGTTACCTGTTCTTTTTAGCTGCTGTATATAATTATATTAGATCCTAATCCCTAGAAGCCATAAGCCCTAAACCCCTGCCATTTCATGATCAGTGCGATGCATTGATCTGATCCATCATGAGGTTCAAGGCTACATGGGCAAGGGAACCTCCGACCACAGTCTCATATCAACCCCTCAGCTAGTTCAGTCAAGCCCAGGAGTGCCTCTTGGCCCTTCAAAACAATATATCAAAATACTCTGAAGCCTTAATTCTATTCGAATTCCTAGTACTAGCGTACTGCTTGTCCTTCCTCAGGTTTTCAATATTTAATGTGTTTAGCATAGTGTAGAAGCCCAACACCCACAACCCTAAACTATAAGCCGACGTCGCAAAGACAACCCCAACTCCTAAAAGCCGAAGCATTATATTATAGCGACTGGCCCCACCAAGGAAATCGCTGAACCCTCAACCGTGAACCTCCCCTTGTCTACTGTTGATGCTACAAAAAAATCCTGCATAGGTTATTCATTTCAAGACCCTATGCTACAGTATGTGAACTCCTTGTTATTATAATAACCGTCTGTACACCCCGTCTCCTATTGGATATGGCTTTCTAGAAACCTCCACGGCTCCCATAATAATATTGCACTGATCATCTAATCTAATCATTGTTGGAGCTACATGCGTTTGGGCAAGCCAGTACAAGCCTAAAGCTTTGGGGATGCTGGCTTGGTTCTGAGGTTCATAGCGAGATATTTTATTGTCTGGAAAGCAAAGCTTACACGTACTGTGGGTCCCGACACGTCCCCACGGTTCAGCTGCTGCAAAATCAGAACAAGCTGGACCGAAGTAGCGACTGATCACTGCATCGGGGTGGCAGGCTCGACCAGCACTCTTGGACATAATCTGAGCTGTCCCTCGGTATCAGAATATAAGTAGCTATAGTGTCGGGTCCAGGGCTCCCACGGGGTGTATATATAGCTTATAATAATATGATCTTCTAGGGTTTTACATTTAACACACTTAGGAACCGAGATCTCCAAAGGCCTGGGAATCCCAGTCAGCATGAGCTACATCCTGCTACAGGCAGCTTCGAACAATGCTAAATTATATCTTCCCAGTACCTGAAACCATATTAATATTCAGAAAATGTATTCGAAATTCAATTCTCCCGGCTACTACGACAACCTATATTATTCCGGCTGCTAAAGGACAAGGGACACTGGAATAGACTTGAAACGGCTATGTAGCCAACTGTTCGGGAAAGTACCTCAACACATATGTACTATCGTAAACAATAGTTACAATGCTAAAATTGCTGCTGAAGCTGGGCGCTCTGAGGCTTTCCTTGCACCGCTTGCATCCCGGCCAAGCTCAGGACTCAACTGATTGGTGGCATTAAGATCTAGATATATATGCAACAAAGTTATTTCACTATCGATCTTAAGATCATGATTTCACTGCGAAACAAACACCACCGCAACCTGGCATCATTAAGCCCCACCGAAACTGTGATATTTACCCCCTGTTGCCTTGGCCTCGGGATGCCCAAATGGTATGCAATGCAAAGTGCAAAAAGCTTCGAAGATCGCTTGACTCCCACTCAACTCAAAAGGGAGGTCACCATTGGGGTGGAAGTCTCCCTCGGCAACGGCCTCCTCCAAAAACGTCTTGATGGATTTGAGGTCGGCTTGGCTCCAGTCCCCGCCAGGATCCTGCAACGGTCTATTAGGGATACGTCGCTGCCTAAACCTATGAGTGTCTAGTGGCGGCAGGTACAGTGCTACACTGGATAAGTACTGCAACACTCGATCCTGGTACCCGAACTGCAGAAGTTTGGAGAGGTCGGGCATTTCCGGGTCGGTCGCCTGAAGTGTTATTATGTGTAATCAGACCTACTTATAATGATCGGATGCTGCATCACTTGGTATTAGGCCCCCACCACCCACTGCGTGTGAAGGGCATACACCCGCTTTCCGAAGTCGGGAGGGTAGGCGCTGGAGGCTGTCATGTCCTTGCCACCCGACCTTGTCATAATCATCCTATTTACTTGAACAGTGCCATTGCACAGGCAGTACAGGGCACAACATGAGACGAACATCGCATACACTGTATTGAGGACACTACACTTTGCGGACCCCCTCGACCATAGTAACCTTCACCATCTCGTGGCCAGTAAGCAACTTCCTCTTCTTGATGAGCTCTTTGGTTGCAGGAGTCAGCTTTTGGTACAGCTGCTGCAGCCATGGCCTTGGATAGGGAGGGAGACTGCACCTAGCACTACTTGGTTTCTGGTGGTTTAGGGTTTATATAGGGTAGTATAAAGTACCGAGCATGACAAAGGAGTCGCAACTTGTGAATTATAATGGGCAGATTAAATGCAATTGTTGCCTAATTCTAATTACACACATACTTGGCATGGTTCGGGATTAGACCGTGGCTGCACTTTGATTTTTTGTACATCATGAATCACACTGGGCTGAATGGGATTACCTGGTCATGACACATGCATGCACAATATCGTGCATACATATGTATGCATGTACTTCAAAGTTTACATGCGCAGATGTTTGCAAGAGTTGGTCCGAAAGTATCTAAACCATGCTCTGACCACTAAGCCTCAGGATATAATTCATGGATGTCTTTATCTTATCCTGTTTGTACACACAGACATGCATGTGTGTGTGTGTGTCTATCCGTGTCTCTGTGTGTGTATGAAGAGTGCAGATGCTGCAGCTGTGTACGAGACTGAACCAGGACTACAGCAGGACTACATACGTGATCATTTATTTGACTGTATATAATTGGACGCACAAGCTCATGCATTGTATTTACACACAGACTGATATATAACGAATATTAACACACATGCATACATATAGCGGGGTACACACACATACATAAAAGTAGCTCAAACTATAATTACTATAATCTATAACGAGTCGTGGTCAACACACGCACACACACATGCCAAACACACTCAGATATCTCCATCTCTCTCTCGTATCCCCCTTCTTCCTTGTGCGCTCCCTCTCCTTGTCCCTGGCCCTCTTCCGCTCCCTCTCGCACTCTCCCTCTCCCCCTCTCTCTCTCTCGCTCTCTCTCTCTCTCTCTCTCTCTCTCTGTCTCTCTCTTTGTCTCTTTGCTGCTGCTGGGCAACACATTGCCAAGGCCAAGCTCCGGCTTTGGAGTAGTGTGACCATAAGTACCCATCCACCTCAGCAGTTGATGATGCCTAGGGTGGCTTTGTGTGTTTCGGAATGACCACGACTGCTCAGAAACAATTGAGGACACCACCAGAAAACGGAAGCATGCCGAAACAATGGTAGGCTCATCATCTTCTCCATATAAGGGAACAGTGGGACACGGGAACGGGCGGGGTTTTCCAATGCCCAACATGTCGACCTGATCAATGCCACTAGAAACAGAAGGCAGCTTCTGGACGCCAGGAGGTTTCCGGTGATCACGAACGGGTGGTTGGCGCCCATCGGGTTGTCGGGGGTTCGTTGGTGGCTCCCCGCTGACATAAAAGCAAAGCTGTTGCATGGAAGCCCTGCAAAAAGCAGGCCCCCAGCTTTCAACCGTAGAACCAAAGACATGGCCCGAAAGAAGCCTTGGTTGTTGCCGAGGTCCTCCAGCACAGCATCCCGGCCACGGTCGTAGCCTTGCCTTGGTTGGATTGGTTTGATGCGAGCCTATATCTATATATATAACCACACACAAACTATGCAGACATGTTACGCCTTGCCACCATTTTTTCGGAAGGCTCTGGTTATGGAGGCAACCCCACAGAACATCTCCACAGCATCTAGATCCTTGGAGCAACACGAGCCGGGCTACATGTATTCATGCACTTGCCGAACTCGTTTCACACCATCAACATCATGACGCCATGCCCTGAACCCGCCATGTCTGATTGGATCACATGTACGCACACAGACAGAGACACACATAATGATGACGGGGTCTCCCTGTGCTTCTTGATGTTGCTTCGGTCCAAGTACTCGGTCATGTAATCCACGAGATGAATCCTTACATGAATCAGCGCAGAAGGGATACCATCAGCAGCTACACAATTCACATCTCATTACGAAGTTTTGAACAATTCAGTAGGTGCGAGCTAGGCACACAATGGGCGGAACACCAAGACACAGCATTGCTGCGGCTTGCAGCTTCGAAACCTTCAAGCTCCTGCGAGCTCGCAACTCCGAGAGCCTCATTGCGACCCTGCACTTGGAAACAGTGGCACGTCTAAGCTGAGCTGAGCATGTCTGGCTCCGTTGCTATGCTAGTGTTCACATTGGCACCCTCAGATCTAGCTGGAGAAAGAATTGACATGTATGTGCAAGCAAATCTTGTTATACTGTAGGCACCTGGGTCGGCAGGCCCCTGATCCATCAAGACTGCTGCAGTTGGTAGTGGCTGTGTATATGATCATGAGATCTCACAGACAACATCTGACACTCGCAACGGCAAGATCCTGCCCCACAAGCTTCCAAACCAAACCAGAAACATGCAATGCAACAACATATCCTGTCGAATGCACTAGCTAGATTGCACGAAGCTGGCCAACACACTAAGGGTGGAAGCACCTCGACGAGTTCGCGAACCATTGGACGATGTCCCGGGCGATGGCTGCTCCGCTGCAGTCGATCCTGGGGGAAGTGGAATGTATTTATAATTTATAATCTACACCAGCTGTATATCGTAGATGCAAGTGAATCTCATCACACCGATGCAGCAGTGCACTCCACGGATTTCCTGTGCAAGTGTAGCTTCACATCATGTTGCCTTGCCCTGTACAGACATGCAGAAGCTGTGCAAGCCAGCGATCTAGGATGCACAGGATTCTTGCTCGAAGAGCATGCATGCGATCCCATGAAGGTGGGTAAAGGGCACGTAAAGGATGCGAAGTCCACTATTATTTTATGCGGCAGCATGCCCAGGGAGCTACAGAAGAATTTCAAAAGCGCCGAAAGCACCCACACCAGTTACTACACACGTGTATGGAATTCGAATAAGAAGTAGCTGAAGTAGCTTAATAATTATTCTCCGAAGATGTAACATATATGTATATATATATATATATACATACATATATATGTATATATCATGTTGGGAGTACTATGTAACTATAACGACATACACCAGCACATGTGCATATACCCGTGCAGATGCTTTAATGGCGCACATCATCGTGAAACTGATGACGGATCAGGCTGCGTCGGCACCCGGCTCCAGCTCCTTGTCCGGTACCTCAGCTCTGCACTCGAGTGGAATCGAAGGGTGTAGGGCGTAACGATATATATATATATATATATATATATATATATTAATTAACATAATGTACTTATCATTCTGTAGATAATGTTATAATATAGATATAAAACTAAATAAATAAAAGTTCAAACCCAGTCACATCGAGATCCTGAGTCCACCCGGCCATATACTGGGCATACTGCCACCTTAGCATTATAATGCTTCGAGACATGGCAGGCAGCAGTCTAGACATGTAGAGATAACTACACAACTCATGTCACCAGACTGTTGTGCCGACACTGCGCAACCAAGCCACGCAGCAGCGATGCCAGCATCAAAGGCATGCCAGGGAACCGTAGCCCCTCCTTTCCGATCCCTGGCCACATGACCCACACGTGGGCTCCAGCTCATAACCTGCTTCACGTAGAAAGAGCCCGACAAGAGTATCACTCCTATGGAGCTTTTCCCCGGAGCCCGGGCACCCTCGAAGTACACCGTGTAGCTCCTCAGATACCCACTACTCTGATCATTTAGTTTAACCCCGATTCCCTAATCATGAGACATGTTGGGACACTAGCGTGATTATGAAATCAAGGCTCTGGTTCTTCATCTCATCATCGGCGGGGATGGTGAGGCCGGGCAACTTCTTAGCCCTTAGATCCTGCAAAACACGCAGTGCCGCCTGCAGTTTCTTGTTTCTCTTCGGAGTCACGGCACGGGGCTTTGCTGGGGATTTCTTGGCAGCTGCAGCCTTAGACTTCGCACGAGGGGAAACAGCTGTGGCCCCTCCGGATCCGCCCTTCAACAGCTTGTTGAGACGGGTCTTCCGCTTCGGACCAGGCTCATCCTTGACCTCGGGAGCGTGAGCCTCGGCCCCATCGATCGCAGCAGCCGGCTTGCGACGAACTCCATTTCCAAGCTTGCGCTTCTTGATGCGGTTGTTCTCCACTTCAGCGGCAGCCTCATGTCAGTATTAGGTGCGTATATAATAGGCTAGGCGACTGCACCCATATACCCAGCTACATGATTAAACCACATGCTTCATATTTAAGCTGCACCTCTCGTATCGAAACTCGTACACCATCTTGAGCAGCCGTGACGTGGTCAAAGCGCTGGTGTAACATATTTGAACTCGAATGGCCCCACTCTGTAGGTCTGGCATCTCTCTGACGTATCAACGGTTCACGATCCTGAAATACAACGCAAGCTGTTTATCATGACACCTATCATGCCACTGCTGCACTGATCATGATGGTGATCCCGATTTCCAATTTAGACTAGTTTCCTTTGTTGCAAAGTTTGCAATCCCTTCGGGCTCAGGAGCAACTGCAGGATCGACCTCTTCGGCGTCGGACGTCGCTGGAAGCTTGGCTCGCATGGGCTCATGATCAGTCGGAGCTTCGGATCCAGAGGGCTCCACGTTGCCTTCAGCAGAAGCCGCCTCGAATTGTACATGCATGCATGGACAATGCATATGCCGGGTATGGATTACACGACCATGTATGGACATGTACATGTCTGACCAAAAAGTAGATGGACATGTGCACATCTCATGGCCATGTACATGTACATGTATGGACAATGAGCTTATATCTATATCTATATCTATATCTATATATATATATATATATTATTTACTTCCTCAATATTACCGATCTATAATCACAGACACACTCGCAGGGTACCGCTTCCAGCCCACTGCTCTGAATGCAGGGTATATCATGATCGTAACGTAGTTATTAAATTATTATTTAGAAAGGAAATCAGGAATCCCAACGAGTCCATTATATGTACTACATATATATATATATACATGTATATATACATATATACATATATAACACATTCTGTCTGTGTGTGTAAGTCAGACGTAGAGGCCTAGGCATATAACAATAGGACTTTTCTAATAACATGTGGATGTGTGTATTTTCTGCTATGTGCTGCAGGCTTCATGTGTACATGTATATATATATATATTTATTTATTTATTTATTTACTAGAGTATATACAAGCCTCTGTATTAAAAACAGGTCGGCTACATCAAAACACTGTGTACAATCCGAACTAATTTGATCACATGCCTAGACCAGCTCAGCATCCTTGTAAACCCAATTCCAATTGGAACCAGAACACCCCAGCATCATGCTCCGGCGTCGCACCCAAAACTCGGGCACCACGATGCCGAAAGCCCCTCGGAGACAACATCTCCGCCAGCCTGTCCGCATCCTCCAAGGATGCGTGGTTCTCGACGTCGGCCGCCTCCGCATCGTGCTCGTGAGACGGCTCGGGCAGCTCCTGGATGAAACCGCGGAGAGAAAATATCGAATTGCAGAGATGCTACTAAAGTGCTTCAGCCACGATCGGAAACCCACACACCAGCAGCTGATACCAAGAATATTAATGCTCATCTCAGATCAGACTTTTAAGACTTAATTGCCTGGGCCAAGAACTCCGCGACCTTCATGCGCCACATGCGCTTCAAGGTATCGACCTTGTCATTCCTTCCCGGAGACTCAATCTAGACACGGCATCCGGACATGTTATGATCTGATAGTGTGAGTCTTTAGTGGCTAGCTGGTGTACACACATATATATATATATATGTATAATATAGGATAGTATGATGTCCATATATATGGGTATATTACACATGAAGATATATTATTATTCTTATAGTATTATGTATATATCGTATAAAGTCAGTTGCAAGAGTAGCGACATGTACACATGAAATCTGTACATATATATGAGCCTAGACGTAATACATACATACATACATACATATATATATATATATAATGTGGTCCCACAGCTGCCATGCGAATATAAACCCGCTAGCTACTGCAACAACCCCAAGGGTCCAAGTACTATATTAATCATAATAATATTATACATAAACCCTTCCGAATACTAGCCTACATTCAAAACTATATGCTATCTTTATCCTTCGAAGTACATGAATATCTTTATGGATTTTCCCGAGTTAATTAACCACCTTTTTACATTATATTCTATTATAGAAGAACTTTGTACTAGTTCATGATATAGTTTGCACCTTTGCAGAAAACACACCCTGTACACACCAATGATTAATTAATGTGGCTATGGTATATAATAAAACCTCTGCATGCCGGTCAAATCCCTCCCCAAGCCTGGCACCGTCCGCCTTTCGCAACAGCTTCGTGAGGTGGGTCAGCATGCTCCGGAAGCGTGCTGCTTCCACCCGCCCCCACTCCTGGGCGTGTGTGCTTATTGTGTATTTAAGTTGGCATACATATCCCACGACTGTGACATTATCAATGCATGCAAGCTACACGACACCGTCCTTTACCGCCGCGCTGATGATATATCGTTTCTCCGTGGAGATTCAAATTGACGCTGAGCAATATGAATGCCACTTCGAAGTCTCCCAGCGCCGGTATCTTTGGTGCTAGCTCGAGAACATATTCCTTCAACAGGGCATAATTTTCCTCGATGTCGCCATTGTAGACCTAGCATCTGAATATGATCACCATGTCCACTCGAGCTATCTCTATATGACATGTACATGGCATGACCACAGCAGCATGTCCGAATCAGGGGCCAATGCATTGACAAGACACGGCAGGCTTCTCTCGGGAGGCCCATTCGACAAAGGACCGTTCCTTTAATTTCGAATTCTTGAAGAGAATCGAACAGTACATTCAAAGCAAATGGTACATGTACACTGCTTGGATCCCACGATTATTTGTTGAACAAGCCACCAGAGGGGTGGCCACGCTCATGATCTGTGAAAGCTGGGACTGCAGGACCGGGCGTAGGGCGTCGTGGATGGCGTCTGCTTCGGCCTCGAGCGGTATATCATGATGTGTATGCCCCGCTTATAAACATGATACATGAAGCACAGCTCTGAATGCAGGCCATGCGCCGATACATGTATCGTCATGGGCTCTCGGATGGTTCTCACATCGTCCCTCACCGGCTTGGCCTTAGCCTTTGCCTTTCGCACAGGACCAGATACCGCAACACACAATGCACGAGCTCGGGCTGAGACACCTTAAAATTATTATCCCTGCCCACCTTAGGCTCAGCAACAGCTTCCGCCATTCCGCCCAGCTACACGGCACACCGCTGAGCTTCAAAACGCAGCAGAGCAATTGCATGATATAGCGTATGCTGCCAATGCAAATCACAGCCCAAGCAGGCATGCATACAGCCAAAGTGCAAAGCTCGGGGGGAGGGCGAGCCTTGTAAACGCCGTTGGCCCAAGTAGGCCGCGTGGCGTAACAGGCCCATGTCATCAGAAGCACATGCACATGAACCTTTCACGTGTCTAGTGCTATATAAGTGTGTCTCTACACTGCGCAAGCTGTGTATGACATGTGATCAGATATGCACAAGATTCTAAATGGAACATGTACACGGATGGATATGTATATATATATATATGTATATATATATATATTATACATATATCATGCGATCCCTCCAACACCATAAATGTACCGTGTGCCCCCCTGGTCCTATAACTGCTACTTCCATCGGTCACCTGCAGGCGATGTGTGCAGGTCGGTGATGCATCTTATTATTCGATATATATATATATATATATGTATATATTATGTCTTATTATACTACTACATAAACCCTAATTTTACATATTTGAGAGCTTTGGCCGGAAGGCCCCACCTACCCAATCTTTTCCCAAAGACCCTTCCTGCAAAGCGAAATCGAAAGTATACGATTATCGGGTCCTCGGACCCTTAGGGTAACCTCCTCCTAAGCACTCACGATGCTTCAGGCTTTGAAGGGTTTGCAGTTTTAGGCTCCAGGGTTTGGGCAACTTACCAAGGCAGCAAACCAATCCTAACTTCTCGGGCTCCTTAACGGGATCTCTAAAGCTACTACAAAACCCTCAACCCTAAACTATACTATAATTTCTATAAGGGCTCCTTAAAGGGATGTCTAAACCTACTATAATTTCTATGAGGGTTTCTGTATGGGAGTTTCCGAAAATAGGGGACCCTAATATAGTACCCTAAATAAAAGGATCCTTATTATAAGGACCCCAAAACAAGGTACCCCTCATTTTCGGAAACTCCCATATGGGGTAGTGCTCCAAACCCTAAACCCTAAACCCTAAACCCTAGTAGTGCTCTACTTCACCAAAAAAGCGCCTTTTTTTACATCCGAAGGAGCCGGTGAGGGATGGCTACGCCCTGGTCAGGCCCTTCCCTTTTTGAGGGTTTTAGGGTTTTTGGGTGTCTTTGGGCTTCAGGGTTTTAGGGTTTAGGGTTTAGATGTTTAGGGTTTTCGGTGTTTTTGGGGGTTTAGGGCTTTAAGATTTCAGGGTTTTTGGGGGTTTAGGGCTTTAAGATTTCAGGGTTTTGGGGGGTTTAGGGCTTTAAGATTTTAGGGTTTTTAGGGTTTCAGGAGTTTTGGGGTTATAGGGTTTCAGGGTTTTTAGGGCTTTAGGGCTTTAGGGTTTTAGGGTTTAGGGTTTATGGTTTAGATTTTTAGGGTTTAGGGTTTAGGGTATAGATTTTTAGGGTTTCAGGGTTTAGGGTTTAGGGTTTTAGGACAGACTTAAGGGCTTGATTGAGGATTTTGAGGCTTTGGGTACGGTTTAGGCGTTCAGGGACCAACATGGAGATTTCTGGGCTGCCAGAGAAGCAGATTTCTCCTTTTTTCAGAAACCTTGGATCGAGATCGTTTCAAAGCTCGCGTCGTCATTGTAAGATTGTCACGAGTTTAGTTTTGGGCTTTCAGAAATGACCGAAGCCGTGCAACACGTGCAGCTGGATTTCGCTACTTAACGCCCTACTAGGCCCTACAGAAAGAATCGCCGATAAGAGACTTTGTCCTATTCTTCCAACAAGCCCTAACCTCCCAGGTATGTACTATATAGGGTACTAGAGCCCCTTGGGCCCTATATAGTAGGTACCTGGGGAGTTAGGGAAATTTCCACCAAGCCTAAACCGT